AGTGTATGTGTCGCTCGGTACATTAATGTTATGTATGTATGCGTATAAAATTAAAAAAAAAATAACTTCTTATTCCTTCCGTTTCCCTTGGAACTACTCTCAGAGACAATGTAAACTCTCTTAAAAATCAATATCAATCCAATATCTTCGTTTAAACTTCTTTCGTTAAGCCGCTTTCATTTCCCATACCGGTAAAAGAGACTTTTACAATTGCCCACACATTTAGTTCTTTCGCCGCGTTCATAAAGTGTAGACGTTCCGTGTCGCGATCGGTTAATTGTGTTGACAAATTATTATAAAATGGGGAAATAATATTAACATGTTTGTGAAATAGTAGAAAAAATTCAATACAACACAAAATCAATCCGTTCATATCGTGTAATAAATTTATTCCACAATATTCCTTCATCTATTTGCAAAAATGGCAAAAATATTTGCCTATTAGACAGTGTTGTGTATGTATCTGATATGCTTTGTCCGGGTTGTTCTTTGATATTTGGGAGCGTTTGGTAACAAAAAGCTTTTTAATGCAAAAAATAGGTTCACTTTGCAACAACATTTCCGTGTCCATGATAAGGAGAGCCAAAGCTCCACCTCCGCTTCGTTTATTTTCCGTTTCCCGGTTAATGAGTGTTAGTTCGTTTCTTGTCTTTGTGTATGTGCGCATTCGGTTTAAGTTTGCTCCAAAACGTTATCTAGATAATTATGTGCTTTCATTTGTAGCTTGTTCATCAATTAGTGTGGTTTTGAACCATAGAAAAGTGGTTTAATTTTCGAAATCATAGATAAAGCAAAAATAATTTAGTTTGCAGTCGGTAAAGTTAAACAAACAAAATAAGTGTAAAAAAGCTAAATAAAAAATAATTTCGAATATCTAGCAAGCAGTACAATAAATTAATTTGTAGCAGTGCAATAGGAATTTAAAAGGTACGTTTTATCAAGTTATCTAAGTATGTTTCTATTACCGCCCTCTATTGTTTGTTATTTCTATTCACAAATATAATATAGGGGTTGTTATCTAGCTTTATTGGTTGTTACAACGATCAGAGGTGAATTAATTTACACAGATCACATATACAGTGGTGTTATCATAATTTATTAATTGTGAAAATTAAAGGTCGAATGTCATACACAGCTTTGGGTATATGCCTTAGGTACTCCTAGGATTCATAAACATAAAATGTAATGTGTTGATCGACTTAGTGAATCTATGGAAAAAAAAAGAAAATACACATTGTAAGATAGCTGCAGATAGCTGGACAATGTAAGATAGCTCTGAGTTTAATTGAGAAAAACATGACTTATTATTTTACTTATTTGATATAAAAAAACCGACATAATCTATTAAAAAATATCTTTTTATAACACTTATGGCTTTTCAAATATTAATTGCAACGATCTTCTGGTCTTGTGTCAGATCGTTATTTGTATTTGGCTGTAGGTAAAATCTTGAAATTTTTATGTAAAAAAACTACTGCTAGAATCTTGAAATGATGTCTTTTGTGCGAAGGTGTATGATGAGGCTGGGTTTGTGGAAATTCGCAGGGAACTCGTACTCATAATGTACTAAAAATTTTCCAATTCCGCGACTTTCCTGGCATTTCTCAAATTTTGTTTCGTAAAAACCTTCCCACTGTAATTACAAATAATCGAGAAAAATTAAGTCAAATCAGTTTCTATATAAAATACTAGCATATGACCGCTACATCGCTAGGGAATGTGGAAATTATTAACTTATGTCAACATATATTAAGTCAGGAGAGCAAATCAAGCTACTCACCAATATCGGCCACATCATGACTCGAGCTATATAGGTTCAACCAAATCTAAATTTTATATTAATGTGTACTAACATTAATATAAATTTATTTATTCACCTACCTCAACAATCCAATAAAAATCATATTTCCAAATATCAGGATTCTAGTTCACTCAAAGCTTCCCCAATCCTAAACCCAACAGGGAACCTAACTCGGATTTTTCTCGAGTTCAGCTCTATTGGTACACCCAAAATTCAAATTGTACCAGATTTCAATATTTCAGCTCCATCGGTTCACCCAAATCCAAATTGTACCAAATATGGTACGATTTAGTAATTTTCGTACAGATAAGTAAAACATTTCAGAACCAAGTACAGATCCCAATCCTACACTCTGACGGTAATGTTAATTTCAAATTCAGGATTCCAGGTCCATCAGTTTCATTCAATTAAAATTGTACCAAATTCTGTGCTGTTTAGTACTTTTCGTATATATAAGTACACATTTCCAAAACCACCTGTTTGGATCGACCAAACTTCTCAATCTTGATTCGCATTTAAGCGTATAGCTCTATCCGTTTGCATGCTACGATATTGTAACAAATTAAGCACATTTTAGTACATTTCGAAAAAAAAACTTTGGAACATCTATCCTACACTCCATCAGTGACCCTCATTCCAATTTTAAGTGATCTAGCTGTACCGGTTCGCCATGTACAAATGACACCATATTTAGTACCTTTCGTGCCGTTCTAGTACGAATTTCCAAAAACCTAGCAATATCTGACACCTTCGGACTAATAGTGAACCTCACTCCAAACTTCAATATTCCAGACTCAGGCGTTGATAAATCTTTAAGTCAGTCCATCAATCAGTCAGTCAGTAAGTTAATAACTAATAATCATATTTCCCACAATACATACTGTTAATTCGAAAGGAAACACTGTAGCAATTTTTAAATTCATATTACAGCCTAAAAGTATGCTTTCATTTATAGTTTAATATTCATAAAGCCCTTACCATGCTATAAAATAACTCTTGCAATAATAAAAAATACATTTCTATTTTAAATTTTTCATTTATTTTTTTTTCAACCATTAAAAATACACACTTACAAACTAAAAACAAATATTAACAAAATAAATAATTTTTAAAAAAATCATTATTATTATGGCTAAAAATATACAATTTTGTTTGCTTTTTTTTTTTTTGATTTTAAATTTCAATATTTTTTTAGTTTTGAAACAATAAAGGATCATTGGCGAAGAGAACAAAACAACGGCACGTAGGGGGCAATGAATTGCTGTAATCTATCTGTCTATATGAACTTCAGCAATGGGAGGTTTTGTTGTTGCTATTGTATGCTTTTTTGTGGAATAGGTAAATAAATGCGGAATCCTTTACAACAAGTAACATTTAAACCGAAAATCAACAAGTTAAGCTGTAAGGGCGGTGTGTTCGTGTGCGTGTATAACAGTGAATACCGTGTTGTTGCAGTGAAAATTGCAGCAGACCAAAAAAAAAGTAGACAAAAAAGATAGGAAACAGGCAAAAACTAAATCCCCTGATAAAAGTGCAAAATTAAATTGTGTTGGATGCTGTATGCAAAGGTTTTTTTGTGTGTGGTTACATGGAGGGACAAACAGAGACGTGGCAGAAACCCCTTTACCGTTTTGAAATATTTTATAAACAACATTTTGGCTATGTCCCTGTCTTCTGGATGTATATATATCCCCTTTTAAATTGACGGTGCGTCGCAATGTCATGTTGTAAATGATGTTCTTGGTAAATGGACATATTGGGACCTATGAAGAGACTGAAGTTTTACGCAACAAAAATATGCAACTTCTGCTGAATTGTTGTGACAGTAATGTGCCAATACTTGCAATGTGCAAAACTTCTTATTTTTGTTTTAACAATTTACAGGGATCACATTTTTTGTTGAGGTTGTTTCAGGGCGAGTGTACACACACTCACACATTTAATACATATTGTCAACAATTTGTTGGAATTTATATCCAAAGACCGCTGCAATTGCATTTTTTTCCACCGTTACCAAGCTTTTCATTTGCACTTGGCGATTTTTTCAATTTAATGAAAAAAACCTTTGGGTCCAATCGTTTTGGGTTTTGTTGTTGTTTTTTCTGTCATGGCTCTTTGTTCGGGGCTGATGATTGCTGACAAAATGAAATCGTTTGTAACTGTATTAAGGCAGCTGGAAATGAAATGAAAAAAAAACAGCAGATGAAAACTGTTTGTGCAACTCAGAATGGAAAACTGAAACAATGAAAAACTGCTGGTCATTCATTGTTGAATGGCGTAAAAAACAACTCAAGCGAAAGGAGGAATGAACAAAAAAAATAAAATTTAATGATGTCTCAGTGGAGTGGAGTTAACAAATTTTAAATAGTAACAATTAAACTTGCAATGGATGGAGAAAAAAAGGGAATGCATTCAATTTTTTTGTTAGGATCAGGGAAATAATCTCCACCTTTTTTATTAAAAAAATGGAAACACCCTTTCTCCCTTAAGTTGTATGGCAAAGTAATTTAGTGAAAATTTAATATGATGTAACTGTGGTATCTCTTGGCCACATGTCAATAACATTTGTTTAATTTATGCAACATAATTATTTACATTCCACTTTAAATTACTGGCCATGCAACAGTATTCTGTTACGTTGAGGGCCATCAAAGACCGCAATTACACGGCCAGATACAGGCAGCATTCAAAGAAAGGGGTAAAGAAAATGTAACAACACTTGCGGTTATACTCAGCTCCACACTTTGCAAGCATACACGTATACACTCACATACACACACTTGCACAGCACCCTCACAACCTTGCCTTGATTTCCTCCTCTGTGAAAGTCTTTAAATTTGATGCCACTCATTGAGGCAGGAGTTCCATGTCATACTTGTAAGAATCCTTTTTTATCCCCATTTTACCAATTCATTGCCTCCTTCTAGCCAATGTCCTTCAGCAGTAACAGCAAAAGTACAGAGAAACACAATAATGTTGGAAAAAAAGCAAATAAAAGCGTAAGATAGCCATTAAATATAAATAAAAAAGGGTAAGTTTTTGTTGTCTTCTTCGTCTTGCTATTTACACAGGATGTACGAAAGTAACGGTAAGGGACATAAGAAAATACTTTACTAAGAGGTAGTCCTGGGTAATCTACCTACTCTGCTCCACCGGCGTGTATTTCAGTCAGTTAACATTTGTTTCGGGATCTCCCGCCTTAACGTGGTTGTGGTGGCGGCAAGGGACCAACGCCTGGACATGGCATCCTCTTTGCCAATAAACGACAGAGGGGTACATCACGCACAGCATCACCAATGAATAACGACAACAAATACCATTGTTTCATACCGGTTGATTGCACTTTGTAGTTACTGTGAGAAAAAAACGGAACAAAAAGAAAAGAAAACAAAAAAATGAAAATAAAAATCACATAAATGATGTTTTTGTTGTTGTTGCTGGAAGCTTTTGTTTGAAGCTGTATATCTGATATCCAAATGATGCCATATAAACTGCAACCATATTAAAATAAAGCCAATGTTTTAATGCATCTACTCTCACAACTACTACGGAAAAAAGTGTTGCATTCAGATCTATAAACATAAAGTTCGTTGGAATTACTAGCCAAAGAGAAATATTACAGTGGAATCATGCTAGATTTTGAAGGGTTCATATCATATAACATATTTTACTAAATATATTTTTAGGAAATAAAAAGGACTTTAAGTTCGGGTGGGCCGAACCTGAGGAGAATATTCAAGATATCTAAAATTGAACGCGACTCTTATATTGGTGCTTTGCCACCGTACATTGCATGTTAGGAGAATACGAAACATCAAATAGCAGACTCTCAGGTCTGAAAATTGGGCAAAACCCTTAAATACTCAATATACCTAAGAATGGGTTCACCATTATATGGGGGACAGGTATTGTTAATTTGTTACAGAAAAAATTTCACCCAATGGGAACCCAAAATATTAAATTAGGGCCAATTCGGTTAAAAAATTCCCCAAAATCTTCAAAAAACCGAATAATGGTGAGTCCCATTATGTAGGGACTAAACAGAAACATGGGCCAATATTCATAAATTTTAATAAGAAAATTTGCCAGCCATATACTAGTTTACAGGCAATCTCGTTGTTAAACGCACTCAAACTCCCCAAAATACTGTAAAGTGTAGTACCGTTATATGGGTTCTATATCAAAAGGTGGATCGATATTTAAACTTTTTTGGTAGGGAGATTTTCTAGCTAGCCTAGACGAGTCACTGTAAATGTGTGTGGCCTAACGTTGTCCTGGTGGAACACGACACCTCTCCTATTGGTCAATTCTGGCCGTTTCTGGTCAATTGCTATCTTCAAACGGTCCAGTTGTTGATAGTAGAGATCAGAATTTAGCGTTTGGCCATATAGAAGCAACTCATAATAAATAATCCCCTTCAAGACCCACCAAATGCATAGCAGAACCTTCCTGCCCGTTAGTCCTGGTTTGGCCACCGTTTGAGGTGCTTCACCGCTTTTTGACCAACTTCGAGGTTTTGGATAACAAATACTTCACCTTATTGTGGGAGTATGATACATACAGTTTATAAAATCTTCCGAAATAATCCTTGGAATTCAAGACAAACCCCTATCACCAAAAATATGAATTGGGCGCCAAAAAATGTCCCTTTTTATTTAGGTCCCCCTGTTTAAATATATTTATATCTTGCAATAATATAAAAATTGTAACAAAATGATGCATTGTATTAAAAAAATAGCAAAAAAAGACATCAACAGGAGGTGATAGTTACGAACGAAAATAAAAAACCAAACGAAAACAATAGCAATGTCCTCCGATGGAGGGATGGCGGGTAACATGGGATGAAACAAGCGTAAAGTAAATATAAAAGCGGATTAAAAACAATAATATCTCATAAGTAGTAAAAAGTAGAGTGAAATACTTTTGCATGGAAACAATAAAATAAATGTTGGAGTTGTATTACAACAACAACAACAAAAGGAGACTTGTTGAAAATCAAACAGAAAATGAAGAGGAGACCAATCCCAGCTGCAGTTGAAGGATTGCAGCCACCACCACCTCAGCATGCATTTGAAAGTACAAGGACCGTAACTATAATAACAAGAATCATAATAAGAAGAAGTAGTAGCAGTAGTAGAAGAGCAAACACACATATATACAGACAATCGTGATATTGTTTTTAATAAATCAAGTGCAAATGAAAGTTGAGAAATTATTATGAAAGATTATGTAGAGAATATATATAGAAGCAATGGGGACAAATACGTAAAAAAACATCAACTAAAGGCCGGGGATATTTTGAGTATGAGAGAAGAACATAAAAACAGGACCCCTCTGTTTTTTATGAAGCGAACTATCTGTAGTGTTCTATTGTCTTGGGGAAAAAACAATGGAGTCTCATTTTTTGTATGGAGTAGAGTAGGATTTTTAATAGGTTATTACGTCTTAATAAAGGCTTAATTTTTAATTCTTAAATTAAACTTTACATCTCAAAAAGGGAATGTCATGAACATGGGGAAAAGAAGGATTAAAATTAAAGCAGTCATATTAGTCTTGAATATGAGAACCTTGTTTACCTTTGCAATACAAGAAAACTTATGTTTTGCAATGCTTTTTTAGTTATTTTTCAATTTTGTTTGTACATTTATTTCAAAATTCAATATGACATTTTTCTCTTGAGATTTTTAAATTTCGGAATTACATCTAATGCATTTTGACAATTGCCATGTAACAGCAAAATTTAATAAAAACACCCCATTCTGTATTACAAATGAAAACTTGTATCGGAAATTTTTTTTCTACACAAAATTTAAATAAACAAAAAATCGTTTCTTTACAAATTTTGTCTGTCAGAATGAGTGTGTTTCCATGTGTGTGAGATAGTGAAGTGTAAAAAATTACATTATCAACACATTGTTAAAATAAGCTCTCTAAATGAATAGCAAAACAAATAAGTAAACAACAACAACAGCACCACTCGAACAAAAGTTTCTAATAATGTGAACATAACGACTATCACAAAAAATAACAAGAAATTTTGTTCGGAATGAAGGTGATGATGCTGACGACGACATTTACATATATGTATGTACTCGTAGTAAGTTTTGCCTTTCCTATGAAATTATATTTCACACTCTTGCCCCTATTCAGGTTTTGTAACTTTAGCTCAGATTGCTTGAACAAAAAGTTATGCATTCCATTCCAGCCATTCATTTATTCGTTCATTCATTCACTTATGACAATGGAGTTCACAAAGTTTACATATGTCAAGTGCACACACATAACCTAGACTTGTTTCGATACAAAAAAAAATATTTAAAAATTTGTACTATGTCATAACACACAAATTGGGAGCGGAGAGTGGTAAGAGTTTTGAATGTATTAAAACTTATATACAAAATTTATTTTAAATAGAAACCAAAAATAATAATTTCCCCAAAAAAAGGGTCACTTCACTCGTCTTATGTGACAAATGTCCAGAAAATATACAACTTGTGGTCAGCAACAATAAAGTAATTATTTTTGTATGTTATTGGGAGGTAAGAGTGCGTTTTCAAAATTTAATCATAAACAAATATTATTAAAAATGATAACAAAAGCAAAACAGAATTATTCAATAAAACTTTTTAATAGAATTCATTGTAAAATGTATTGTGCTCATAATGAAATCAGCACCTTTGTTTGAAATTTGCACACATATAATAAATGAAAATATTTTTAAATAAATGAAAATATTTTGCACCACAGGTGCTCTACAAATCGTAATTATTAATTAAAGAAATGCAACATTAGGTAAAAAGCAAACAAAAATACTTTGAGGGATTTGACACCCAAAAAGAATTTCAAATATAAAATTTCCGTTTATTTATTTATTTATTTATTTTTTTTTTTTGAGAAACTAGCCCAAGATACCGAATTTGGGAAATATCAGGTTTTACTTTAAAAAGATGACCTATATTGATAGGAGATTAGCTATACAATTAGAACCCAAAATACAAAATTGCAACCAATTCGATGAAAAAACGTTCCCAACATTCTCAAAATACCACATGTTGAGAGGAACCGTTATGTGGGGGCTAGCCCAGAATTTGGACCGATATATCCCATTTTCAATAACAAATATCCTAGATATACTTGCAACGTCTATATAAAATTTCAGAGCTCTATATTAATTATTGCTATCTCTTGATTTCAAGAGCCGGATGTCTTATGGCGAAGGATATATAAAAATATTTGATATTGAGAGAAAAATCCCTGGCGTTTTCTGAGTTAAAATTGATATAAAATGTTTTTGTCGGTTGTGTATGATTAATAATAATTATAGTACTTGTGGCGTATATATTATTTTTATACCAAATAATAAGTATACGCATAACCCTCCTCTAAATAAATAGCATTGAGCGGTGCCGTCATATGGGTCCAATACCAATGTGGAAAAAAAGGAACCAATATATTACAATTGCAATACCAGACATCGCAGGTATACTAGAAATATCTATACAAAATTTCAGAGCTCTATCATAATCGTTTCGATCTCTATCGTTATTTCAACAGCCGGACATGCAAACAGACAGTGGAGTGAATATAAAAATATTAGATATTGAGGGAAAAATTCCTGACGTCATCTTGGTTAAAATCGATATATATATATATTAAAATGAGATGTCTCATTATAGGTTGCGTATGATTAATAATTATTATAAAACAGATGGCGTATATTTTATTTGTATACTCAGTAATACGTATAAGCAAAGATATAACCTTATTCTTTTGACATTTGTATTTCATTCTTTCAACTACGGAAATCACGTTTATTTTTTTTCTCAATTTATTTTCAAATCGATTTCCAATTTTCTACGAAAAATCACCTTCCTTTCTATAATTCATCACAATTCCTTTGTTAATTCATTCGCAGTACCTCACTAACTATTGTCCTGAGTAAGGTTATTGCTGTTCCGTTATATGGGGGCAAGCTCAAACGTGGACCGATTTATCACAATTGCAATAAAAAAAATATTGTAGATGTGCTAGCAAAGTTTATACAACATTTCAGAGGTCTATATTAATTATTGTGATCTCTATCCTGATTTCAACAACAAGAAAGAGAAACACAGTCATTATGGTGTATATAAAAATATTATATATTCAAGGGAAAAATTACTGGCGTTATCTGCGTTAGAATCGATATAAAAATTTCAAAATGTGATGCCTCGTTATGGGTTGCGTATGATTAATAATAATTATAGTGGCGTATACATATTTGTATACCAAATATAAAGTATACGCAAAATATTTCCTTTTTTGTGGAATTCAGAAATGCATATTTTTCGTACAACCATTTTCAAATTTATTTTATTTCCCTAATTTTTTTAATATATTTTTCAACTAAAATCTCTATTCCTCTTAAATTTTAACAATTTCTTGGTTATTTCATTCATAGTACCTCACTACCTATTGTCTTGAGTAAGGTCAGTGCCATGACATAAACATTACACCAGAATATATAACTACATACATATATATTTCTTTTTTTATGAAACTCAGCACAGTCATAACTTTTTTATTGATTTTCCACGCTTTAATTTATGTATATTGTTGTCATTTCACAAAAAATATAAAAATTATGAAATAAAAACTGAATTGTTGTTTTTTTTTTTTTGTTTTTCTATAAAATTGAATATTCTGACTGGTGGGGGTGTGTAGGAAAAAGTTTATTTAGATCTGTGCTGTGTAAATTAACAATAAATGTTAATCATGAACAAAGAACGGGGATAATGGATACAATTTTTACAGTTTTTACAAGAAAAAAATATATTTTGAAATTTTGGAATGAAAAAGACGGTTTGAGGAATTGCCATAATTTTATGATATTGAAAGCAAGTTGGTCGTAATTTGGTGGACATATCAACATAGGACATTTGTTGGTACCACAGTTATTGAACATTCAAAAACATTCAAAATTTTTTATGATTATTCATATAGAAAAATATTTAATTTTTTTTTTAATTATGGGATTCAAGAATGATTCATTAATTTACCCGGTTATTCATTGTAGGGTTAAATAGATTCAGATCCCAGTAATCGATTTTTCCCACAAGACAAACTATTTTTTATCAACATTTCACGGCCCTAATTATAAGAAAAAATCTCCAAATTTTGTTTCCAATCTGGCAACATTAATCCTCGTCGTATTTACTTTTCTTGTTTACATTAATTCGGTTTATTTTCCCCTTTTTTGTTAAAATCCCTACTTGTACTTCACAACCCTCAACAAACCGCACCTAAAGATGACAACTTCTTTTCACGAATACAAAATTTGTTTTGATTTTTTTTCAACTCCAAAGATAAAGTTTCCCTGCAACGTTTATCTCTGCTACAACACGACAAAAGCCAACAAAAAACATTTTACTTAACTTCGGGACAAGTGAAAAAAGACATTAAATTATGCACAAATGAGTTGGCATTTTTCAAATAAAAATTGATTGGAAAACATTTTGCCATGGAGACATTTGGCGAACAGCAAAGCAATTGCAACTACAACGACAAAAACGAATCCCAATAACAAATGAATGCATTTGACAATGACATCTTTAGTTGAGAGAACAAAAAAATCACCCAAAACGAAAACAAAAATTGCAAGTAATCAATGTTAAGATGACGATGCTAAGCAATGGCAACGTTAAACCCAAGTACAACATAAAACTTGACAACTCATTACACATGTAAACGCTGCCTCATCATTTGGTTGCAACAACCAACCACCCGTAACAACATAGCTAGATGGCTTATTGACATTTGGGATACCACTTTGACTTCAGTGGACCATAAACTCCAACAACATGCAGAGGGACAAGCAGACAGACATACCTGAAGATTTCCGCCCAATTGGGATGTGTTTGGCTGGCACGTCCTGGACGTGAGGCATGCAGACGACATGGTTCCTCCAAAATGCAAGCACGTTGACCAAATTCCCGTTGGATTTCTTTTTGGGCATATTCCGCATCATAAGCCAAATGGGCAGTATCACGTTTGCTGCGTGCCCGATAAGTATCTGGAAAGAGAAAGAAAAACAACAATAACAACAACATGAAATATTAACAACTTTTGATTAGCATTATTAGCTATTGTTAGTCTTCGAGTTTACAGAAATAGCTCACGCTTTATTGTGCCATCTTATCCAGCAAACATTAAAAATTTTTGGTTTTAGAGGCTACAGCCATATTAAATATTGGTTGGTTTCTCATCCTCTACGTTTTTTTTTTATTGTTTGTTTATTTTTTCTTCGTATTGTTGTTTTTGTGCGGTATTTCCCCAATACCCCTGTTTTTTTTTTTGGATTTATATTTCATATGGCCTTGACCCATATTTTCGATTTGGTTTCTTCGGACAGGTTTGTCGTTTAGCATGCGTTGAAATGTTTGTTGATTGATTCAAAGCATATAAGTGTGGCTGTTAACATGGTCGGATGGATGGATGGTTGGTTGTTTAGATGATGATGGCTTCAATCAAATACAAAAAACCACGTTTCTTACAGCGTCAAAAACAACAACCACAACAATGGGTTGCTAGATTTCAGTACTTATATGCATATCAGCCACATGTCATGTACGTGCTTTGATTCAAGTTTAAGAAGTAGAAAAAAACGAAGACCTATTGTCACCAGCCATATGGTTAAGAGGGAAGGAGAAAGACTGCAGTTAACCCAGTCAGCCATTTAGTTGACTATGTACATGTATGTTAGCTTAAAAAAAATATGTTACTAATTTGATTTACCCTCCGTTTTTTGGTGACGAGGGCATATTGAAGTACTGCTTTAATTGGGTTAGCGGTTCAAATGTCAAGTGCCAGGGAATGTAAAATATGGGGCGAAGCATTTTTGAGGGCAATTAAAAATATGTTGGGAAAGGTTACTTTTTTCTAACAATTTTAAGTTTAAGGGTCATTTAATATTCTCCACCCTTTTGATCCCAGTTCTCCACCCAGTTTTGAAGGCTAGGAAATTCATTATGGGGATGGAAGTCATGCCGAGTATATACAGGAACCGCGACAAATTTGCCATAAGTCAAGTTTTTAAGTTATAGCGTGATGAGTTTTATGTTGACAAGAGACAAATCTTTGTTTGCGGCTATTGCAGGTTATTTTTGAGATGTCATGTTTTCAGTCAAATCGAATAGGGAATACTTTTGTAAAACATGTCCCCTTCCATCTCGAGTCCTAGAACGCCTTTTTCATCCTTATTTTCTTGAACTAAAACGTAATTTTTTGATCTCCAAATATTCTACAAAAAGGTCGATCATTACATTTTATATAGGATCCTCAAAGGAAATGAATCAAAATTCGTAAATTTTCATCGTCCTTTTACACATTTACCCGATCCTTGCTCAGATTACCTTACAAATTGTACATTATATAAAACTGTAGGATTTGTCTGAAATAATTGCGGATTTTGCGGAACTATATTAATGCTGCCAAATTTTAATATATCTATCTGATCGATCGAAATTTTGGCCTCTCGTCGAAATCGTATCTTCAAGATCGAAATAAAATTAAATATTGCCAGAATCAAGTTCTAATGTACATCCTAAGAGGATCTCCAGGATAAACCCAACAGAGTATCATATAGTGGCTCAAATCAGGCATTGGTCATTTCCTCACAGAATTTCAATCGAATGGGAATGCTCCTTATATCATATCAGTCAAATAGTTTGCAAAACCTCGAAATATTGATCTCTATCCCAATATTTGAAAATATGCGGAAATTGGACAAGTTTTTCAACCGAATTGGCTACAATTTTTGGGTTCTCAATGTATAGCTCATCTCCGTACTAAAAATTATTAATATTGACCTAAGTTTAAGGGTAGCACCCATACAACGGTACCTCCCAATATTTCGTTTTTTTTTTTTTTTGGGATTTTGATCAGGTTTCCCAACCGAATTGGCTGTAATTTGGTATTTTGGGTTCTCATTGAATATTACATATCCGTACCAATAAAATTTTATATTGACCCAAGTTTCAGGGTGTCCCCCATATAACAGTACAGCCCTGTATCCGGTATTCTGATGATTTAGGACACGTTTTTTCACCGAATCGGCTGTAATTTGGTATTTTTTATACTCAAAAAATACTCCAAATATTGATCTCCGGTTTATTATAGCCCCATATATCGGTAGCCCTATCATAACATGAGTTTTTTTCTAGGAGCCCCCATTAATTTTGGATATTTTAAATGTCATTCTCATGGTGGAGGGTATAAAACGTTCGGCCAGGCTGAATTTAAAATCATTTTACAGGGTTAGTAATACTTCGGGTAAACAGAGGTTTTAGCTTCATTTAGCTTTTATCCTGATCATCGTTTGAGTATTTCCGATTTTAAGAATTTTTTGGGAATATTTTCTGAGAGTAGGGTATGCTTTCTGTTCGGTTCTAAGGATTAAATATTCACATGTATATAGGAATTATATATACTTTTGAAGATGTTCCAAAGTTGAAGGGTTTTCTGTTCAAACCAGTACTTATTTCCAAAGCTCAAAATCTAGATCAATACATCAAATTCCAAATAATTTTGTTTTCAATCAAAATCATTCTGATTTAATTAGCACCAGACGCCTAATCATTAATTAAAATGTAAATTATATAGCCAATATTTATATTATTTCTAAATATAGTATATATTTTTATTTTCAATATAAACAATTAATTCAATTGATGCACTTTGATTGGTTTGTCTTACGCCATGAACTGGATTATTGCAAAAATTTCCGTTACGGATTTGGATTGAATTAAATTAGGTTTTTTTAATTCCAATTAACATTTTAATAAAAACAAAAAATCCGAATATAAACACTCTCACCAAGAGTCACGGTTCTAATTGTCAAGATACATAGGTTTCTTTCGAACCGATAAAGTTCCAATATTTCGGCAGATCAAATTGGTACAACTTGTTAATCATTTTCTTTTTTAAAAATTCACTTTTTTCTTCTTTTCAATTTCCACCACTTACTTGGATTCAATGAATATGCCAATTTCTTGGCAAATTGTGATAGACGAACTGATGCCACAATAACCGGAAAACCGATCAGCTGTACGGGTATTTCAAACAATGGCTCATTACTTTGGGCCATTACACCATTATCTAAAAAGTTCTCCAATAAAACAAACAACACATACAGCGTGGGGATGAAGGTTAAATTTAAAACAAATTTTAATTTCATTTTGTTTAATTTTTTTTTTCTTAAATATTTTTTTCAAGTCCTTTGCAAAAATTTCAAAATATGTTGTAACGCAACGACTGGTTTATTTCGTGGTTTAGGTCTACTTTTTCGCTCAAGGGACCACCGCTTTTAAGCAAAGTATTAAAGCAACTGATTACAAGCTTCGCTTAAAAACACCAACAAACTTGGCCTAAAAGTTTTGCAGCCAAGACATACCATAAACATAAAATCAACAACGACAACAACAACAGCAGCGCCAGCAACAACATAGAAAAGAGTTGAGCCAAAAATTTACCAACAAAAGACAAGACAGCAGACAGACAACTGAATATGAGAGGATGATGACAAACGGCATGACGTTTTTGTGTAAAAAAAAGGTGTTGGTGGTATGGTTGAGTGGCTGGCTGGTTGTCTGTCTGCCTGGTTGAAGACCTTAAAGGCCGCTCAAAAACTATAAACAAATATTGTAATGTAGAAAACAACAACAAAAAACCACCAAACTGGAAAATATTTGTTTAGCAAAAAAACCCTAAGCGCCAAAAAATATTTAAACAAAAAATTGTTTATTGGCAATGATTACTTAACTCTCTTTTGGCCAAATATTGGCCAAGTTTTTTTTTATTTATTTTCATTGCCGGCGTCTTAACTGTTTGCATGCAATCGTGGTGTGTGGAAGTTGTTGCTTTTTATACTCATGAAGATCTACAAGCCTCCCCATAAGGAAGGCAAAATAATAGGAGTCATACTTTTATGCTTTGTTGGAGCGAATTTTACTTTGCAAACAATATTTTAAGGCGAAAAACCCAAAGCGAAATGAAAACCACTTTTATTTATTTTAAATACCCTATAAAAGCAATTTCTTCTTCATCCCAGGAAACCCCTTTCTCTTCCTCTTTAATTAAAAATTACTCATCCAATCTTCAACCATAAGTGGCTTTCAATTGAACAGGTGAAAGTATATTTTTTGTCTCCCGCTCAGCTGTTTGTAACGGACCTACCCTAACCAAAAACAAAAACAAAACGAAAAAATGAAAATAAAAACAGAAGTGAGGCCACACAAAAACTTTGTCCAAACCAAATGCTGATTGACCACATTGGAATTCATGTGGCGTAGTGGCCGCTGCTAGCAATTTGTTAGCCGCTTTGCACGTTGATAGGGTATTCGACTGCATTATTATGAAATTCATGTTGGGATTTTTTGCATTAGCATTACAAAATAATATTTATTAAAGGTTATATTTGCCGTATTAAGATCATCGACTAAAGGTAAACAGTTATGGGTAGGTGGGGAAGTATCCCAAGGGGAATAGGTGATGAAAAATTTAGGCTTAAATTCAATAAAAAATCTAAAATTAAACCTTATAAATAACACTGTGACACAAAATCGAGGTCATGTTGTAGGCAATGTAAGGCCTAGGGGAGTATATTTGGATCTCTGAGGTACAAATTCGTCATAGGTCAAGTTTCCGTACTACAACGTGATTACACAACACAACTATGTTGTCAGGGTATTAACCACACGAAATATTGGTCTTTTACCGATCGTTATACCTCGACGAGCTGAGTCGACCTAGACATGTGTTTCTGTCCGTCCGTCTGTCAATTATAATTTGTAAACACGATACAGGCCAGTGTTGTGGACCAATCGTCACGAAATTTTGCATGTGGCATGGGTTCTTTGGCCAGAACCCATCCCCATCCTGGGCCGACTTTAAGATACCCTTCCCCTATTGTCTTTAGTAATGATCCGTCAATATTTAGGGGATGAAATGGACCGAAAACTTTATTTTTGTCTGTTTTTCTAGTCGGTCTAGAGGTCACAATTATGACGATGAATTGGTTAATATTAAGCGGATCAAATGGACCCAGACTTTTTTGTGAATAATGACAACATTGGTATTCTATGGCGTGTATATTTACACCTGAAGGATCTAGGGTGTATTACTTAAATATTTACATTGGTTTATGTATTCTGATATTGTTCAGTATTATTATTAGCACCCTAGAGTGCGGAAATGTCGCGCTGGTCGCTTTGATATTTTACATGAAATTCCGGTTATTATCAAAGATGACGCCTATAATTTTTGTTGAGATGATATTTGGGCGTCTATAGGTGATCCTTGAATACATATTTTAAACCAGTGAGCGAAGCAGTATAGTCGGACCATATGATACCCTACACAACTATTACGAAAATCTAACTTTTTGCGGCTCTATATTCGGAGTCTAGGAAATATTTTGCAATATTTGCACCCTCTTGACCGATTATAGATCAACACATCCACTTTCTAAGCCAGACATATTTTTCAAATCTTGTTTTCCAGAGGTAAATATTTACGCCGCAAAATTAAAAATTGGTCACTTAAGGTTCTGGTTGATTCGACTCTTGGATCAAGGATCACCTATAGGCGCCGATTAATGGACTCTGATTTTTTAAGATTTTTAGTTATGTATACTTCTCCAGTCCTCAATTTCTTAAGCCTTAATAGCATCTCCCTCGTATATGTATCCATTTGGACCTGGAATTTCTCTGTATTGTTTATATTGTTGTGTTTCTTGGCCCGCTTAATACAAATTTCCGCATATTTGGTAATCAACTTGTCGCCGAAACTACTGGAAATTTTAAGCCATATAAAAAAAATTACAACAATATTATTCGCTTCGATAGACTAATATAGCTGAAAATCCACACAAACGACAACAACAACAAAACCAAACCACGACAATGGACAATTACGTGAATTTGCTGCCACATCAAAGTCACACCACACAAAAGACAAACATCGGAGACGCAACAAAAGGAATGCAATGAAAATAAAATCGAAACTAGGCAAACCACAGACGGCTGACTGCAAGTTGTAATAAATTTTTGAAAAACTAAGGCAATGGTGCAAGATTGCACGCAAACGTCAGGACCAGCCGGCAAACCTTCTTCATAAATAAAGTCTGTAATCGGTCAAAATAAAAAAATCGGCAAGCTAAAACCAGTTTGGTTTGTGCCACCATCGACAACCATTTTTGGCCAATGAACGGCTAACCGCACCACCACCACTATCACCACCAATCATTATGACTCTTGCAAATAGACTTTGGTGTGCAATTTGTTGTTACATAATAAACATGCTATCCAAATACAACAACAACAGCAAATATGGCAATACCAGCGACCATCCATCAGCTGAGTGTGGATATTGAACGACAAACGGTAAACGTTGCAGACTTTGACTGAGCTTAAAGTGTTAGTGCTATGCCCACCGTTTGTCTGCAAAGCTCTTCTACTACGACTACGTGATCATTCCATTGTAGACCAGCATATAGTAATGGTTGGCTGTAAACTTCCTTGAAAAGCAAAAAAATACAACAACAACAATCCGATTTGTAATTGCCATGTCATCAAGTAAATGAATCTCTCTATGTGAAGTGAAAAATAAATAGCAACAATAGATAATTATTGCATTTCGAAGAGGTCAATTGAAATATTTATATAGTGCCGGCAGTAATATTTACAGTTAATAGTAAATATTACTTTGTAGTTAATTATAATTGTATGAATCACAAAGTAAATCCAATCAAATTGATTGTAATTGATAACACCCAACCCTGGCAATATTAATAAATAGTGCTATTATGCTGTCTAGAATCTGTATAAAATATTTCGAACATTGACTTTAAATTTTGTAGAAAAAAACGAAAGATTAGCAGTAAAGACAATCGATTAGAAACTATGATTTGTTGGTTTCTTTGAGATAATTAACCCTTTATGAACTGAGAATTTGTTGTGAAAAATTTCGTATTAAATTATATATGTACATGTGGGAGCTGTATCGAAATCTGAACCGATTTTTCCGAAATGTATATATAGGGACTTTATATATAGGGATTTGGTGCACTATTTACCTAACAAGTGACTTATGCCAAATTTCATCCAATTCGGTTCACAAATGCGACCTGTACCTTTACTTTGTTTACAATTTAACACGGACAGACACACGGACGGACGGACATGTATAAATCGACTTAGAAAGTGATTCTATGCATATTTTCAAAAGGAATCATGTGTCTATCTCGTTTCCTTTTGTCTGTTACAAACATATGCACAAAGACATAATACCCTGTACCACAGTGCGGTGGAGGGTATAAAAACTTTATTTCAGAAAATATAGTACCATATATTTTTTAATAATTCACAGTTAACTCGTCTAATTTGAAATTTGCGAATTTTCTAAAAGAGGGAGCTGAGTTTTATATCTCGTTTATAAACGTCGATTTTTAAAAATCTCGTTTAAATACTGAGCTATGGGCGTGGATTTTTTAAGCATATTGTTTTCTTTCCCTGGAACCGTAGATGGAGATCCTTAGCACCCCACCACCATATGTGATCATTGTTATGATCTCATAACTAAAATATTATTACTTCATATAATTGCATAGGTATAAAGTTTCTATTTCAATCATTACCAAATTCCTATTAATAAATTTTATCTCAAGCCACAAAAAAAAATACAATTCACAAATTTGTGTAAAAAAAACAAACTATAAAATATTTTAGTATAATTATTTCAAGCAGTTGGAAGGATATTAATATAGAAAACCTTCCAAAAAAGCTTGTGACAACATTTGACCTTCACTAACCTCTGAGAAGATTACTTTTCAAAAAGTTTGTATCTAACAAATGAAATAGCTTAGTTCACCAAGTTAAGTACAACTAATTACCGTACCAAATAAAAAAAACTCAAGCAAACAACACACGCATCTCATGTCACTACACCCAAACAATAAATGTTAGTTCAAATCCTCTACAGAGATACAGATAAGTTACAACAGCTCTCTCGGTGTTTGCTAGAGTAATAACCTCTATCATCATTTTGCTTCCATTAACCCAGTTTTGTTTTGTTGTTGTAGTTTTTTTTTTCTCTCTAAAAGCCACAACAATAACTATATTGTAGTTGTAATTTCATGCCACACCGACTTTCGTTTACTCTTTTCGCATTAGAAATTCCAATGATTTTCAATTCTAAAACGATTTTAAATAATTCAAAGGGGGAAGTCACTTTGACAAAACAACCTCAAATTTATGGTTGTTTGTTGTAATTGTTGTTTTTGTTTAAAATGCACAACAATGCAATGCATTCACACTGTCTAGATCACATTCACGTTGTTGAGTTGACAAACTTCATGTTTAGAAAAGGAGGCTATTTTGTGTTAACATTGGCAACAAAATGACATAAACAACAATTGTTGTAAAATACACAGTCATACAAACATACAACTTTATTAGTGAGTGCTAAGATAATTTATGAACATGTTAACAATTTTTTTTATTTAGAATCGAATAAAAGCCGGGTTTAGCCTCAAACACACACACACAGACGCACAAGGAATTGTTTAGCGTGTCGTTTAACAATGAAATACTAGTTTAAATGACGGAAAGTGATGTCGGTTTTTTTGTCTTACCTCTAACTAGGTAATGAGTTGTATAAATATTACACTGAACAAAAAATTGTAGGTGAATAATTTGGGAAATGAAATCCTAAGACCTTAGGCGTGTATTTTTAAAAGTATTTTTTGGACAAACCTATATCGTGAATTTTTAACAATATTTTTTAGACAGCACTATAACCTTGGATTTTTTTCTCAATATTTTGTTAAAAGTTCGCCCAAAAGCGTGGATTTTTGAAAAACATTTTTAAGGCTCACCAAGAGGCTCATTTTTTCAAGGCCCATATTTAGGCGTGGATTCTTATACCCTTCACCACACTGTGGTACAGGGTATTATGTCTTTGTGCATATGTTTGTAACAGCAAAAGGAAACGAGATAGACACATGGTTCCGCGAAATATAATTCCTGAGCCAATTTACGCACAACACCGATCCGTCGTGTATTATTGTGGGCAAAGTACAGGTCGCATTTATGATCCGATTTGGATGAAATTTGGCATATTTGGCCCAAGGATGAACCCTATTGAAATTGGGAAAAATCGGTTCAGATTTAGATATAGCTCCTATATATATTTTCGTCCGATTTAATGTAAATGGTGCACCAAAGTCCCTATATATTTTTCTATTTGCACGAAATTTGGCACAGCGTAATGACTTAGGTCTAGAATGATGTGTGTTAAGTTTCCTGAAAATCGGTTCAGATTTAGATATAGCTTCTATATCTGACCAATAGAAAAATTTAGTATCGGTTTCAAAATGGCATGTTTATGGATCCAATTTCATTTTACCATGAAATGAACCAAAAACTTTATTTTTGTCTGATTTTCGGGTCGCTCCAGAGGCCGTTATGGCCCAAATATCGAGGAAGCAATTATGGCCCAAATTATGGCCCAAAGAATAAGAATACCTGTTTTGATAAAGATCGATCAATATTTAGCGGATCAAATGGACCGTGACTTGTATGTGAAAAATGACAAAATTTGTATTCTATGTCGTATATATTTACCCCCTGACGGACATAGACCCGAAAAGTTGTAAGTATATCCAAGAGGAGTGGTTGACCTTTAAATGGATACCAGTTATATGGTAGTATGTACTCAGATGCGGGAGTTACACATAAAATTTTACAGGTGCTTACTTAGTGAGATATTACTTACTAACCCAATGCCACACTTAAGGGCGGAAATATAGGGCTGATCGCTTTGAAATGTTTCATGAGATTCCACTTGTGGTCAACGCCTACAATTTTCGGTGATGATCAGATAATAATTTTGGGAAAAAACTTAATTTTTGGGACCGAAAACTTAATTTTTTTTTTTTGTCTTTTTTCGAGTCAATCTGTAGGCCACAATTGAAAGCCGAACATCACTACACAACCCACGGTGAAGGGAATCTGGACAAATAATTAGAAAGTAACGCGAAATATGGCCCAAGCTCTGAACATATAACCACAGAAAATTAGGCGTGTATGTTTTAAAAATATAAATAAATCACCTAAAGGCGTGGACAAAAAAATAGTTTTTCAGGGCTCTGATATAGGCGTGGATTTTTTAAAAATATTTTCTTAGGCTCAGATATAGGCGTGGATTTTTTAAAAATATTTTCTTAGGCTCAGATATAGGCGTGGATTTTTTAAAAATATTTTCTTAGGCTCAGATATAGGCGTGGATTTTTTATAAATATTTTTAAAAGCCGTGTCAGGCCTATAGGCGTGGATTTTTTATAAATATTTTCTTAGGCTCAGATATAGGCGTGGATTTTTTAAAAATATTTTCTTAGGCTCAGATATAGGCGTGGATTTTTTAAAAATATTTTCTTAGGCTCAGATATAGGCGTGGATTTTTTAAAAATATTTTCTTAGGCTCAGATATAGGCGTGGATTTTTTAAAAATATTTTCTTAGACTCAGATATAGGCGTGGATTTTTTAAAAATATTTTCTTAGGCTCAGATATAGGCGTGGATTTTTTAAAAATATTTTCTTAGGCTCAGATATAGGCGTGGATTTTTTAAAAATATTTTCTTAGGCTCAGATATAGGCGTGGATTTTTTAAAAATATTTTCTTAGGCTCAGATATAGGCGTGGATTTTTTAAAAATATTTTCTTAGGCTCAGATATAGGCGTGGATTTTTTAAAAATATTTTCTTAGGCTCAGATATAGGCGTGGATTTTTTAAAAATATTTTCTTAGGCTCAGATATAGGCGTGGATTTTTTAAAAATATTTTCTTAGGCTCAGATATAGGCGTGGATTTTTTAAAAATATTTTCTTAGGCTCAGATATAGGCGTGGATTTTTTAAAAATATTTTCTTAGGCTCAGATAAAGTCGTGGATTTTTTAAAAATATTTTCTTAGGCTCAGATATAGGCGTGGATTTTTTAAAAATATTTTCTTAGGCTCAGATATAGGCGTGGATTTTTTAAAAATATTTTCTTAGGCTCAGATATAGGCGTGGATTTTTTAAAAATATTTTCTTAGGCTCAGATATAGGCGTGGATTTTTTAAAAATATTTTCTTAGGCTCAGATATAGGCGTGGATTTTTTAAAAATATTTTCTTAGGCTCAGATATAGGCGTGGATTTTTTAAAAATATTTTCTTAGGCTCAGATATAGGCGTGGATTTTTTAAAAATATTTTCTTAGGCTCAGATATAGGCGTGGATTTTTTAAAAATATTTTCTTAGGCTCAGATATATAATTACAGCACTATTCGGGTGAAGGGCAAACTATAGACAAGGATTTTTAAAAAAAATTGAAGGCTTATCTATAGGCGTGGATCTTTAGATATATTTTGAAAGGCTAACCTATAGGCATGGGGATTTAAAAAAATAAAATTTTTTTGAAGAAAGAGAGAGATTGCCTAATGTTCGGTTTAAAAATCAGACACTAGGCTTAATAGAATAATGTAATCTGGTTCGTATGGAAACATAATTTTTGTGGTATATAGAATACCTAATTACATTTTTTGATATATAAAAAAGATGTAAAATATGGTTTTTTTTATAAAATATTTTTAACTTTATTTACAAAAACAATAGTTAACACATTTCTTTTTTTGTTACTAGACTTAAACAAGAAAGTCTCTCCTTTTTTTGCTAAAAACAAACTTAAAACTTAACAAATAGCCATAATTAAACTTATATCGATCGGTTTATGGATTAATTACTACATCGTATTGTCGTACAAAAGCATAGTCGACTAGTGTAAGAAAAATTTCACAATTTTTACGGATTCGTGTAAAAAAAATCTTAAAATTTTAACACTAAAACTAATAATTATTTGCATTAAATTTTTTTTAAGCTATGAATAAAGAAGAACTTATAAAATATTTACAATGGATAGAAATAGGCATAAATTAATGAAAGAAAAATAAACTGCAATGTAATGAAACGGTCATTTCAATTTGAAAATGATTGTCTAATGATGTGGGGGGTGTGACGGTGGCGGTTATGTTTTTTTTTTGCGGATTATTTCCTATGCGGCAATTTTACAAATGAAGATTTTTGTGATTGAACACATTTACACAAATGGAGATTTGGGCAATTCTGTAATGTAGATGATTTACATTTTCATGACATTCTTCTGCTTGTTCCTCTTTTGTTTTGACACATCGAAAACAAATAAACATAATCACATGATATGAGTTTTAGCTGAGATTTCCAATACTTCAATTTAGAGCTTAACTTTATAGGATAATTTCATTAATTTCTTGGAACTAATTGGACAGTTGGGCCATAGATTGGCACAGCCCATGGGTCCACTCATACTGTCGCCGGTGAAACGTAGCAATTCTCCCATGTGGGCAGCAAAATGCCATTTGCTGGGTGAGCCATTCATGGCCAGGGACATGGATGAGGATCTGTAAAGAAAAAAAAAAATATTTAATAACATCTTTTAAAAAATTCTTACAGTGTATTTTGTAAACAATTTTAACAAAAATATTCTACACAAGATTCCTTATTTAGTATGCTAAGCATTTGCCGGTTTATTTTTTGTTAGAGACAGCGGCAGTTCGTTTAAACGTGAATTCAAAGCAAATCGCCTTCAAGTCAAGTGCGAGGTTATTACTAGTCCCCAACACACTGCCCCACCTTGCATTATAACAAAAATATCACTGAAGTGGAAATTTGCGTTTTGTTTGCAATTACAAATTGATTGTTTAACAGTCAGTCGTCCGCAAATAAACATGTAAATTACTTAACAAATATTAAATAGACATAAAAATCATCGTCGTCAATGTTTATGAAATGTGCATTAACAGCTAAGCAAATAAAAACTGGGTGATTTATGTTTTATTTTCGCCTAGGCTGGCTGACTGGCTGGCTGGGTTCATTAACATTTCACCTCCTAACCCAACATTGAGATGTCTTGCTAAGCTAAACTTGAAATTGTTTGTTTTTATTAATTCAATAAAATTTACTTAAATATGCAATTGCTTCCTTAAGATGTTGCGATATTTTTTAATTTCATTTAAATGCATTTGCATATCAGAAGTTAATTGAAAACGAAAACAAAAGAAATTCTATAGGAGAAGTATATATATTTCAATAAGTGTGGAATTTGGCGCTTAGTTTCATATTAATTAGTTTCAATTCTGTTTTTAGTCATTCACCCGGTTATGTTTAATTCATTGTTTATTGCTTATCAAAATTGTTTGGTTCAAAGTGCAAACTCCTTTTGTGCCATCAATAGCAAAACAAAAAGTTCATTCAAGTTTAGAATCACATCTTTCAAGGGTAGCATAAATTATAAATGTTCGCCAGCCAGTCAAAAAATGAAATAACTTGATTTTAATCATCATGTTCGTCATCAGAAACGACTTTAAATAGCTATGCAGATTTATGTTTATGCTAATTTTTTTCACAAATTTTAAATTGAAAATATTCCATTTAAATGAAATATACGTATAGACAAGAAAAAAATATGCCTTATCATGGTGTTTTGTTTAGCAACATGAAGTCTGGACAACTCAGCAAAGATTAGGTTAGGTTGGAAATCTTAAAAACCAATACAAATCAGGATCCTGAATATTTTTATTTTATTTTATTTTTATTGTGTGCAGATGTTTAATTGTTTGGTATGTTTTATTGTGTGCATTGTGGATAAATTCAATGTGGAAGTTCCGAACTCACATCTTCGGTTGAAAAATGTGATTCGAACCATTAAAATGGGTTGGACCTTTCTATGGTGACTATGTGAAGTTTTCCACATAGGTGATATATAGTCCCCATATAATGGATAATGAAGGTATTATAATTACCCCATAAAAGCTGTACCCCCTTTTTCCAACTACTTTCATGAAATTTTACATTTTGGAATCTCAAAGGATAAAAAACAATACAATCTTAATAATTAACCCTCAGATATAGGTCTTGTAATTCTACAATCCCGGGTTTCAGACCAGAAAAATTCTCCTTTAGGGTTGGAGCTTGCTCAATATAGTCAGTATTATGACATAGAACCTTACCATGTTCGTTAAGTTCGTAATGGTCGTAGCCTTAAGAAATTGTGATGGAAGAAGAAAGATATATGCCCATTTTTATATACAAGACCTTTTTGAGGCCCTTAAAATAAAGAAGAGCTCTTCTGTCATTTTGATATGGATTTTTATACAGAAGGACTTCTTCCATTTACTGAAAACCTTTTGAGGTCTTCAATTTAGGTCACAGAAAGCAAAGGAACTTCTTGCAGATAATGTTCAATATAGTCGGTGTTTCATAGAACCTCATTTGCAATGTTCAGCATTTTGATGGCCCTACCCTGATTGCTTTACAGGGCGGAGGCTTTTATGAGTTCCCTTCTGACTTTTTGGCGTACTTCTGTATTTTTTATACAGAAGTTCTTCTTGGGACCTTCCACAGATTAAAAGCCTTTTTCTATACTTGAAGAAGGGCCTTTTATATAGAAGGACTTCTTCAGAACTTCCATAGATTGCAAGCCTTTTAGGTCTTCTATTCATTTAGGTTCACAGAAGATAGAGGAACTTCTCGTAGAGAATTTTTAATATAGTCGTGTTTTGACACAGACTAAATTTTGAAGTTTCACCAATCGTGTGGATTTTTATACCCTTCACCACGCTATGGTACAGGGTATTATGTCTTTGTGCATATGTTTGTAACAGGCAAAAATAATCGAGATAGACCCATGGTTCCTTTTAAGAATATGCATAGAATCACTTTCTGAGTCAATTAATGCATGTCGCTCCCTCCGTCCGTCTGTCCATGTTCAATTGTAAACAATGTACAGGTCGCATCTATGAGGACGAGCCCTATTGCAATTGGGAAAAATCGGTTCGGATTTAGATATAGTTCCGTATATATCTTCGTCCGATTTAAGGTAAATGGTGTACCAAAGTCCCTATATATATTTCGATTTGCACGAAATTTGGCATAGCGTACTGAATTAAGTCTAGAATGATGTGTGCAAAGTTTCGTGAAAATCGGTTCTGTTTTAGATATATCTCCCATATATATTTTCGCCCGATTTTATGTAATTGGTACACCAAAGTCCCTATATATCTTTCGTTTTGCACGAATTTTGGTACAGGGCACTGAATTAAGTCTAGAATTTTTTTTTTCAATGATCATCTTTAGGCATGGAACTTTGAAAAATATTGAGGAGTTTTTCAGCAGAAACATATCACAGACTAAATTTTTTCTAATATCGGTTCTGATCGTGGATTATGATCTGGGAATACATGGTTATTAAACAAAAGGTAAAAATATGAGGTAATTTTAATGAAACCTGAGATTTATGGCTGCAAAGATAGTTGTGAAAGGTAGGATTTTTCCACAGAAAGTTTTCTTAGACTACAATTTTTTAATTATACATGGTCAGGTAAGGTAATTTTATGAAATTGTTCTCAATCGAGAAATTTAGCTCTAAAGTGGTAGTTGTGTTGCATATCACCTCATAAATCAAATCATATTCAAAATCTTAAATAATATATATTTTCAATAATGTTTACCTTATCAAATTCATAAGATCCTTTTCCTTCTCTGTTAACGCATAATCTGGTTTCGCTGCCATTTCACACAGCATTTTTGGCAGACAGGAGTCTTTAATGGCATCTGATAGCTGGGATTTCATGGAGTTACGTTTATTCGCCAGGCCATCGGCAGAGAATTCAGCCAAATCAGCAACTAAATTGGGAAGAGAGAAAGAAAGAAAAAATTAACATATTTTTAAAACTATAATTAAAAGAATACGCAAAAACAAAAACATTATGTAAGAAATTATCTAATTATTGAAAGTTGTTTTTTAAATACCCTGGTGGTCAATAATGATTATGCTTTTTGTTAAGAATAACAGCTTTCTTTTTTTCAAAAATATTTCTTTGTTTGAAAAATGAGTGGTGAATGCTTAACGCTTCAAGTCAAGCAACTATAATTAATAGCAATTATAATTTTTGTCTAAGACGAGTAGAATATTTTGGTTGTTATTAGAGAGAAAAAAATTCTAAATAAATTCAACAATCCATGACGTTGAGCAAATTTATTTAAGCTATGTGAGGGTTTTATTTACACTCAAAATTTAAGCTTCTCATACGAGGCTCGTGTTGGTAGAATGGTTGATTTACTTCAAACAAGCTTTAATCTTTAAATATCTAAGCCCACAACACAAGCCTATTATGTGACAAACGGCCTAAAATTTATCTCGTTGTTTCTGGCAAAAAATCTAAATCACAACCCGGAAAATATTTTGTGTGTTTTTGTGAAAATAAAAACGAATTGTTGTTGTTTATTGTTTTGCTTGCCATATAATTTACACATTTATCATGGGCTGTTAGCAACAACGACAATAAACTTGTCAATTAGTGTAGATATCATGCAGAACCTTTTTTCCTGCTATGTCTGGCTAGCTTGTAATTATGGCAATGTGTTAAGCAGGCTTTCAAATAACAACAACAACAGCAAAATAAATATAAAAAAAAACATTGAAACACACGCTCACACTTGACGGCATTTAACCTGTCTTTAATTTACCTTTAAAAAATGCAATTAAGAATATTTTCTTTATATGAAAAAAGAATAATTTATTTTTGTTATTTGTTTATTGCCAAGTGGGTTCTTAACCTTCATGGAAATGTTGATTTAAGCGAGAATTAAAAAAAAACTAAACTATTACCACTGGTAATGCAGAAGTTGCCAAGTCAACAGAATAAATTTGTCAATGAAATAAATGGGCGATTCGCCCGCCAAGTAAAACAAAAACTGCACAATAAAACAGAAAATGTATTTAAGGTAATTTAAATGACTTGAATGACTGTTTGTTTTTTGTATTTTTTGCTTAATTACCAACAACAAATTGTTTATGCAAGCCACTAAAATTAAATCACAACCATGGATTTTTAACTTTGGAAGGCCCAAAGCAGTTGACATAGAGGGAGAGAGGCTAAAGACTAGAATCTGTAGAACAATTTTTACTTTAGCGGAATAAATTTAAATATTCTTTGTCATTTTTACAAGTTTCCGGGCATTTGGATGATACAAACTTATAATTTCAATTTGTAGATCCATTCACTGACCTTGACACTACCACATATATCTCCGAACTTTATTTTTCTGGCATTACAATTCTAGAATTCCCAGTATTTGATTTTCTTTTATTGCATAAAAAAATTGGTTTCAATTGTTTCATTCATTTATTCTTGAAGAACAACAAAAAATTGGAATATTTCATTGCTTTGTCTTCTGTCTACATTTGTTGTATTGTTTCAAAATACACACAGACATCACGATTTGAATTTCTCGAACAGCTGTTTAGCATTTGAAAGATTAACCTGACCGAACGGATCGTTGGCAATGTTCAAAACAGATACATTTTGTTATTGGCTTTACTCATAGTCAGCAACGCTGAGAAATTGCTATGGTATGGCTAAGTTCAATAAACTTCTAGCCTTGAGCTGAGATCAAGAAAAGCACGTAAAATTTATACAAATTTAGCGAATTTCAAAATCAAAGATCAGATTGACTATTTTGGCCACAAAATAAAAAAAAATAAAAACAAAAACACAACAAGCGGCCGGCAAAATAAAATAATAATTTTATATAAAGTTAAATTATAATTTTATATAAAGTCTGTATATAAATTTGCATCGAATTAAATAAATTAAATCTGTAGCCCAAGTTCTCTGACTGCTAAATGAAATTACATTTGTAAAGAAAAAGTAAAAGTCAGTACTAAATTCCAATGCAAATTCGATTTTAATTAATAGCTCCTGGTCAATTATAGTTAGACGGCAGATAACTGTTATTAGCCAATTGCAATATAGCAACACATTTAATTTTGAAATAAAACTTTATGAACTTTTATCTCCGACAGAGGTTAAGAATATTTATATCAAGATCATAAAAAAATTGCAAAATGTAGAGGGGGAAACTTGTATCCCACAGATAATAATTTTGTTGCATCTTGTTAATAGTGGATTTAGTAGATTGTAAAAATATTAATTTGTTATTAATTGTTTTATTGTAATTGCATAATAATCTAATAGTAGGTTTTGAATAAAAATGCAAAAAAAATGACATGTAAAAATGTCGTTAAATTCGACCGAACGAATCTTTTTTATACCCTACAACAAGTTCTAAGTGCACACCACATGTTGAGCGGTATCAAAAATTCCTTAAATAGGTCAGAACCCTTATATGGGGTTTGAAAACAGGTATTTGTGTCATATGGAAACAGAGTTATCGAAAATGAAAAATGAAAATGGCACAGGACCTTTATATAGGGGCTATGTTAAAGTGGCGAAATTCTTCAAAATACCAAACATGAGCTGGGACCTTTATATAGAGGCAATGTCGAAACATGGTCCTATATCGACAAAATTCTGCACAGACTTTTATCACAGTCCAAAATCCCGAAATGCCATTAAAATTTAGGCATATTCGATTTTTTTAAGATGAATTTTGGTTGAAAAATTCGGCTAAAACCGGCACCGTTATATGGAAGCTATTCCAGTCTGTGAAACTATATTTGCGAAATTACAGTTACTTTGGTGTGAAGATGTTAAGAAAATGCTGTAAAAATCTTTAATACGCCGAAAATGTGGTGGGACTGTGTTTTGTTAAAGCAAGGACCTATTTGAAAATTTCACAAAGACGTGTATCGCGTTGCAAGTACCCGAACATTTTAGGTTTTCGTTTGGAAACTACGACCGAAAACCATAAAAAAGTTTTTTCTGCTATATCAAAACGTAGACCTATATTCTAAATTTTCGGTAAAAAGATTTGACACCCATTGCGAATCCAGAATATCCAGAATACTAAACCCTCTCCTCAGAGACACCGACTAGCACTTTTTACTTGTTTTGTTTTTTCAAGACACTTCAGTTAAAAATTCACAATGGGGAGTTTCTATTATTTTTATGCTATTCCCAAACGGAGGCAGATATATCCAGTTTTCAATATCTAACATATTTCAGGTTTTTTATATGACAAAATGTCGCATTTTTTTCAAAAATTTCGTTATACTGTCCTTTATTCACTTTTTTATTCATGACACGACGCCACATATTGACATTATATTATTATACAAATTAGGTAATATTTAGAACTACTTTCATTTTAAACTATTTTCTATTAGCATAGAAAATAAAACTAGATTTCATAAGTGTTAATTTTCCCTGACATTTTGATATTTAAAAAATTATTTTACTATTAACAAATGCCAAACATGCATTAGGGCCGGTCTTTTTTTTTACTAAACAAAAAATTTATAAAATAATTCCATTAACATTTAACAAACAAACTGGAATGTGACAATACATGTGATCGACCAGTTGCCTCGGATAATTAAATGCAAGTTCTGAAGAAATGTTTTATCTTAGAACGCCAAACCATTTTTAGAAATCAAAAGAATTTAAAAAAAAGTTTTATTGCAGGTTTTATAAAACCAGAACAGGGATACGCCATATTCACTAAATATCGAAGCTAGAATTTAACTTCTAAAACATATCTGAAATACATTTTTAATGATAAGATGTGTCCATATTGGCAGAAGCAGTTATACCATTATATGATTGTGATTTATATATGTATATAAAAAATTAAATTTAATGCATAACTAGGTCTCAACTAGGATGTTTGTTATGGTTAAACTATTTAAGGGAAAATAATTATTTTTAAATGAAAATACTAACATTCACCAATAGGTCTGTAGTATTTTTATCTAAATAAACTTTTTGAATATTTTTTTTTTCACAACAATAAATAATTTCTAATTAGCTAACTCTCAACAGGTTAGCCAAAAATACACAAAATTAAAGAATCATGAATTTATGCTGAGGCATCATCATCGTCGTCATTGGCGCTAACAAGCTTGTTCAACGGAATTAACTCAGGAAACGATTTGTTAAATTTATATATTTTTATTTTTTTGAAAAAAAATGTTAGGTTTAAATTATAAAAATATAGAAATATTCTGAAGAAAAAAACAATGAACATGAAACTTTTTCTCATTTGTTGTTAAAAAAAAGAACACGTTTTGTGTTTTAAAGAGGAAGGGATAAGGAGGCAAAAAATCCCAAATCTATTGGTGATCTCACTAATGTTATTAACACAAAAGTTTTGTTTTTAATGATTGGAATATGACTTTTATAAAAATAAAAAAAAACAAAAAATAATAATTATTGATTAGAGAGAATTACGCAAACTTTTTTTCTTGAGGATATAATGGGATATGTATTTAAAAAGAATAATTACTATATTTTAGATAATTGTGCTTAAAGAAATCATGTGATGTTAATGAGGAATTATTGTTTAATACTAAATGAGGATAAGAAATACATAAATGGCAAAAAAACTAAAGAATCTCACGGATCTTTTTATTCCTTCTTCATAAGTTGGGCGCCTAAAATCATGCGGAACGGCTATTTGTTTTAAAATCTCTGCCAGGAGGTTTTTTATTTTCTAAGAAAACGAAATACTCAAAAGATACTCAAGTTAGCAATTTTCTACGCTGATCTTTTTTACCCACTAAGAACTATGGGGTCTTTATCATTTTAAAAATCTACCAGGAGGTATTTTTCTTCTGAGAAAACTAAATTAGCTAGTTGGAAAATTCGCCTACCATCTTCAATATATCGCAATATTCGACTATTTCAGAAATGGACCATTATTGAAATATTTCTAAGAACTGT